GTATAATTCACCTGGCACAACAGAAAACATCGGGAGAGGGAAGCAGCCAGTGTACTAAACAAGCATTTTTTCACTCTGGTTTTCACACCAGCATGCCTGTGGCGCAGAAGGGATTTTTTTAATTTTATTTTTTATTTTTTTCTAGCCAGTCCTCAGGTGTGGCCCCCCAGGAGCTGGGCTGTCCGGGGCTGAAAGGGACTGCTGAATCGCACTCACTACTCCATGATCAGCACCACCTCGGTTCTGGCCTCGAAGGCGCTGTACAGCTGGATGAGGTTGACGTGGCTCAGCTGGTTCATCACCTGGATCTCGTTATGAGCCGATTCCTGTAACGAGAGTTTTCATCACAGCAGTCTGTATTTGAGTTAAGAGCCTGTGCGTGGAAGTCTAAGTCAGCTCTGACTCCAGTCCGGGGCTAGTGTGTGGACAGACTTTCTTTCCAGAAAAAGAAGGAAAGCAACTTAAAGCAGCTGGATCACTAGCTTAATTTAACCCATTAAACAGCTTTGCCCGGCTCAGTGGGGGCTACTGCTTTCTATTTATTCTGAATACATGTTATTAACTCACTTACATAACACAGTGTACCCAAGCAAAAAACACCTAATTCTACCATCATAAAACACAATATAAGCGGTTAAAATAAAAACCACATATAGTGTAATCTTCCATGGCAACAATGCTGTATCTCTCCCTCAGAAAGGGCCTACCGATAATGGATCATTGGCAGTAATGCTGAATTAGCTGATGGAAGATACAGCTATTTATATATTTTTTTGTTGTTGCTAATGATTCTGAGCTGGAGCACATTCTCTGGGGAGTTTGCATGTCTTCCTCTCAACTTCCAAAGACACGCTGTCGGGATTAATTGGTGTCTCTGCATTGTCCCTGTGAGTCTGTGTCCTGTCCAGGCTGTAGTCCTCCCTCGCACCCTACGCTCCTAAAAGAGGTTCTGTGTTGCCATGGAGACAGCTTTCTGAGCTGGTGTGGGACCCTTCCAGGGATGGATGGAAAACCTGTCTCGGGACTTCTAAATTCCGGACTGGATGAGTGCAACATTTCTGACAAAGCAAGCTGCACATCAGTACCTTTTCCTTTGCAGACCGCGCCTTGATGATCTTTGCTGCCAGCTTTAACCCGGTTGCCTTCTCAGTACAGGTGTGAACTCTGCCAAACCTTCCTCTAAGCACACACACACACAAAACAAGAAGATGAGGAAGAGGCGGGGCAGAATCACTGAAGCTTCGATCTTAGTTTGCTGTTAAAAAATAAACCAAGTACTGTGCATTTAACTCCTGCACATTTTGTAAGGAATCTTAATGCGAGATAAAGATCTAATTGCATCTTTTTTTTAATCAGGATATATAAATAAAACAAAATCATAGCCTTCTTGTGAGCAGCACTATGTCCCAAAGGTACTGAAAAAACTAGAATAACAGTAATCAGAAACGTACTTTTTAACTTTATTTAATACCTTCTGTAACAAACAAGGTTTTCACCGAATTTCTAGCATCTAAAATGTGTCCTAGCCACCCCCCTTCCACTGATTTTGTTTCTTTAAATTCTTAATAGGTACCAGTTTTTTATGTCTAATCTGTATGTGTTAAAAGGATTTGTAATCCTAATATTTGTAACCAACACTTTCACAGCGATGTTTTCTAATTGCTTGGAATGATTGGCGAAGAGAAGGTTCAGCTCGAGTCCTGAAGGCTCATGGGGGGCGACTCGCGACTGGATTCCCCGGAGGAATCCATGACTTTCTCCCTGGGCTCTGATCGAGAACAGGCGCCCGACCTCTGACCCTTCGCCCTCCAACGCTGGAATGGTGCAGCTGAGCGCAGCTGAGTGCTAGGGGCTCTCTGACAGGGCTAGTGAGAGGAGCAAGGGGCTCAGGGGATCCTGTGTTTCAAGCTTTGCGCAGGGTTTCAGGTTTGACTTTGTCCCTGTGGCTCTTGACGAATCCACTCAGCTCCGTGGGCCAGAACAGCGCCCCCCTGTGCTGCGGGCCGCGGCAGGGCCTTACCCCCCCAGCACCTCCTTGGTGTTGATGTCGAAGAGAGGGAAGGACGGGGCGGGCTGGAGAGACACCAGGCGGTGAGGGAACGGCGCCGGCTGGGGGGCGCTGTCGTCTGCAGGGCGGGAGAGCAGGGGTTCAGTGGAAAAATCACAGAGGATCTGTACCCCCAAACCCCCCCCGCCCACACACAAGGGGGTCCGTGCTCATTCAGAGTGAGACACACATACTGTTACTTAAAATGTCAGGGGTAATAATAGGAAATAATTCCTTGCTTCTGTATTGTGCATTTCATCCCAGTGTACCTCAAAATACTTTACACACATCTCCCATTAAGCACAGCCACCCACCTGGATTGGCAGTACGTGAGTGAAGAACAGAGAATTTACTTATTCAACTTATTCAAGTTTTCATGTTCAAGGTTGCCGACAGACTGGACTGCAAGGCGTGCGTTTGAAACACCCGGTCAGAGCAATTCCACCACACAGGAGAACAAGGGAAAGATCCAGAAAAAGCAAACCGCTCTCTGCAGGGCCAAAACGTTCTAACTTAGTCTTCCCGTAACTGATGAGTGAGTCGTTGACATCTTCCTTACCATTTCCTTATACCTATAGCTACTGAGCTGAACCCGCTCGCTCTCTAAGCGAAAATGTTTCCCTTTCCAGACACATACTGTAGTTTAAGAGTTTTGCGGTCTCTTCACTCGATCATTTGCTTATTCATGGACAGGCTTCCTGATAAACGCTCCCCACAGACAAAGTGTTCCCTGGCGATCTCTCACCTTTCCACAGAACAGAAGAACGGTGGAGCACGACCCCTGCAGTAACAAGGCATGCTACTTTCAGTCTGGCCACACAAATAGCTGACTGTCACCCAGGAAAGAGCAACTCGAGGGAAAGGTGACACTTCCTGGATTAGGAAAATTCTAGACTATTTCCAACCTGGCTGCCAATCAGTTTTGGAATGGTTGGCACCCCTTTAAGGATTGGTATCCAGTTTTCCAGCTGGCAGGACCTGATTTTTAACTTGAAACTTGCATGTGCACACAGTAAGGACCAGCAGTTATCTAACTCCTAGAGAAAACTGTGTGGCTCTACAATGTCAGATGAGAAAATCACCTAAATTTCTTTAAATTTAAGATACTGCCCGTTGTCTTAAAAACATGAAATAAAACTTCAAAGTAAAAGTTGTAATCTGGCATCCGTTCATAAGCACACTCCTCAGACTACATGTTTTCTCCGTGTCAGTGGGGGGCTGGGGAAGTGTGGGGCAGAGGTGAGGAGAAAGAACACAACATACCGATCACTCTGAAGCATGTGTCAGGGCTCCTCTGGCAAGCTGTGTCTGTGCTCCTCTCGGCCGGACTGACTCGGATCTCAATGAAGGAGGGAGCTGGAGTCGCGAGCTCCAGGCTGGGGCCCGCAGCTTCTCTGCCGCCGGGGCTGTCCACCCCGGTCCACCCAGAGAGGGTCAGCGTGTGTCCGGGGTCCTGCAGAGCAGCCGGCTGCCGGCTCCTTTCGGTGTCCTCCGCGGTGTCCACCCTGCCGCCTCTCCCATCACCTTCCTTCGTGCCTTTCACCTCCCTTTGACAGCTGCAGAAACACAAAGAGCCAGGAGAGGGGTGGTAGTGCAGTGTGACCAAACAATTCAAAGAACTCTTGTGCAACTGGGTGGGCACCTGCCGCCCCCTCCCCCCCCCCCCCCCCACGCCCAGGAGAGCCAGGTCTGTGCCCCCGGCGCGATGCCCACAATGCCCTGCCCGCACCCTACCTGCCCAGGGCCTCAGGACAGCTGTGGACATGCCTGAGGGGGGGCGTGTGTGAGAGAACAGCTCCCAGCAGTGGTGCCCCCCCTGCCTCCTCGGACGGGGCGGCCTGGAGATCCGCTGCGAGCGAGGCGCCCGGCGCCCCCCGCCCTTTCACCTCTGCTCCCTGCCCACTCCCCGGCGGCTCTGCGGCCTGGGGCCCCTCTGCTCCGGCGGCTCCGGTCCCGTTCGTGCTCTCCCTCGGCCCCAGGGCGCTGCGCTCGCCTTCCTGGCGGTCCGGGTCCGCCTTGTCCAAGCTTCCCGCCCGGCCTGCTGCTGCCAAGGGCTGGGGGCACCCCGGATCAGCCAGCAGCTTCAGCTTGGGCTCCATCTGGGGCGTCCCATCACACCCCGACACTCGGACCTCGGGGTCAACAGTTCCAGGAGGAGGGCTCCTGGTTTTCCCTTCGGTGAGTCCAGGCGAGACTGCGGTCCCCAGGGAACAGAGGGGACAGGGTATAAAATAGCCTCGTAACTCCTAGGAGAGTCTGGGAATAAAATCATCTACACTTCTCTAAATTGGAGATACTCTACGTTGTCTTGAGAGCAAGAAAATAAAACTGAGAAGCAAAATTTGCAACTTAGCATCTATGCCATAAAATACATCATTTCTCCATGTCGCTGTGGTTGCAAGACTCACTTTGAAAATAATTTGTGGTATAATGACAAGTAGAAGGGGTAGGAGAATGACGTTTTCAATAATGCCGTCCCAATATTTAACACAAGTTTGTTAACTCAGTTGGAAAAGAGGAAAAAAAGCACTTCACACTGATACGTAGAGAAGGGGAATAGAGCTTCATAATTGAACATAATTACCTTCATTTTTTACCTTGCACGTAAAATTATCCGCCTTCTAGCTCAATGTTTTTTGTTGGAATAAAATAAGTCAAATAAGATGAAAGCACTCCTATTTCCCCCTTGTTTTATAATGAGAGATAATAATATAGAACAGCTCTCCTTCTTCCCTTTATTAAAAACCACTTTGCATTGAATGTGCGTGTCCGTATGTCTCGCTTGGTAGCTGTTATTATATTTCCACGTGTGATGGTTGCATCCTGTGACAGATTAATGCTACTAGCAATTATTCCATCCATCCAAGCTTCTAACTGCTCCAATACAGGGTCTTGGGGGAGCGTGAGCCTATCCAGCTTTCAGAAAACAATCCATTTTATTTAGAAGATTCAAAGATGATGTACAGTGTTAAATGCATCTAAGGTGGGATACACCCTGGAAGGCATGCCAGTCCATCACAGGGCGGACACGCAGATACAAGCACGCATAAAGGGAGCCTAAAGGGAAATCACAGCACCTGGATAAGATCCACACAAACTTGGCGAGAACATACGATTGTCATGCAGATAGCACCTCAAGCACCTCAAAAACTGAACCTAGGGCCCCAGGAATGTGAGGTAGTAATGCTAACCCAAGTTTTATTATTATTATTTAAGAGTGACATCCTACAGTCAATAGGATTTCAGAGTCTATAATATTAGACCTGAATTCTTTATGGGAGCCGTGACATTTCCTGTAGTGACAGGAGTCAGTCTGGGGGAGTCTGTACTGCCATATTCTGACATCTTACATCAAATTGCTCTCAGTTAACAGCATTGCCAGAGTCCAGTAACCTTTCCTTAATGCACTAAAGTAAAAGTGAGACATTTGTATGTGTTTAGCTCTATCTTCCCAATAATTTGGGATGCTTAAGTGCATTGCTGTGTTGGAAAACACCCCATTAAGAGCCACATCCACTGGCCAGTGAATGCCAGCTGGATGTGACAGAACACCAGACACCTCAAGGGTACAATTTAACCTATAATAATATCTCAGGCTCTAGCAGCTAAAAGCAGAAAAGCACCGTGGCACGGTTTCAAATAAAATGACATCTTTGCCCCTAATCATTAAAAATCCAAATACTGGAGCTGTCAGTCATGCAGTTAGTTTGTAGCAGCACACGATCCAGCAGAACATGGACATTTTCCAAAAAACAAGTAGAGAAAAGGGCTGGGAAGTCCCAGCCACCACCAGGCCCTGAGAGCATTTTCACATTGTGCTTACCTCTCCCGTGAGCACAATCCCGATCCCCCGAACTCTGCTCCCTTCTCAAATCTAACTTGACACCTGACTCCTTAAGAAAACAAATAGAGAAAAGGCAATGTTGTTCTATTGCTGTAAATGCTGCCTTTATCAAAACTCAGCCTTTGTTCTTAAAAAAAATTCACTTCATTTCACTCATATGTTGACATCTTTATTTATACAGGTTCTGGACAGCAGACAGGTATTTTTACTTTTTTGTAAAAAAAAATGGCTTCATGGCTATAGATAAATCCAATCATTTGCACATTTATAGCATGACACAACAGACTACAATGCAATACATTTTGGCCAGAACATTCAAAGATGATTGATGGTATTAAATGCATTTACTTCAATGAAATGCTTGTTGCATAAAAGACTGAGTATCGAACCGATTGTTGAACATGTTCATGTGTTTTGTTGCTTTGTTCAACTAATTCATAGTCTAGGAACAAGGGAGAAAACTAAAGAACAAGCACAAATCGCTGCTCTCTCATCTCTGCCAAAGGCTAAAATAAAGCAATCTCACCAGTTAAATAGAAATGTTTGAAAGTACAAAAGCTTTGCCTGCGATCTTGAAAATTGCCTCTAAAGGCTTTGGCTCCATCTGATTTTCATACTTAAACTGCGGGTGTGTCGTTTGTTTCGTGTAACCTGCAAGTGTTGTAGCCTTCACAACGTATCATTCAGGGGCTTTTCCAATTGCTCAGAAGCAGCCATTTATATTATTTAAGCCCATTTGTTATTTTGAAAATGTCTGCTGTGTGTGAGCTGCTTGTTCTGTTCTACTTATCGGATGATAATGGGCATTAATGTGCCCTTGAGCTCTCTAGACAAATACAGAAATTCACCGTTGCTGCTAGGATACTTTGGGTAGGCATTGCTGCTGTTCAGACGCACATCAGGATTTTAACATTGCAAAGGGTGCAACAATAAACCTTAATTAAACACAGCTCTACACTCCATATTCCCCACGGAACCAGAAAGAAAAAAAGACTGAGGAAGCTCTAAGAAAAAGAAAAATAAATACATTGCTGCTGGTGCGACCAAACCTTTGGGTTTACAATTTCATATGGATGTTTTTCAAGGGACTCATTAACATCCAATTACAACATCATCGGCATAATCGACAGTCCGAGCTGCGGACGGGTTGTAGTGCTTCCAGGACCTGCCAGCAGGTGGCAGTGGTAAGCACACTACAGACCACGCTCTGGATCCCCTCAAACCTTTGAGCAGGAAGGAAAAGAAGGAAAAATGCTCTGGAACATGGAAGCGATATTATTAATACTAATAGTATTAAGAGTAATTCAAGTAATTCGCATCTCTGAACTGGCTGGGTCACTCTGCTCTCCTCCCCACTGAGAGCTGCTGTCACATCATCCAGGTGGGTGCTATTGAAGGGTAAGGAATTGTTATTAATGATTCAGTAATAGTACCTTGTCGTTCACGTCTCCTGGGTGCTCGATCGCGCTGCTCTCCCTCCTCGCGGTGGGTGAGGGCTTCCCGACCCCATGATGCCCCAGACGCTCCACCAGCAGCTCCAGGGTGGTGTGCGTCCCCTGGGCCAGCCTCTCCAGCGCTCCCAGGCGCCGGCTCTGCTGCTCGCAGTGGGTGGCCAGAGCCCGCAGCACCGCCGCCAGCTCGCCCGGGCACTCGGTGCCCAGCACCCTCTCCTGCCCGGCCAAGAGCCTGTCCACCTTGCGGCTCAGGCAGTCCAGCTTGGTCTCCATGGCGGCGAGGAGGTCGGCTCGGGCTCGCACCTGCAGCGGGGAGGACGTGGCCAGCCTCTTCACCGTCCCCATGGCCGAGGGGCAACGAGAGGGGGGGCCGCACTGCGCGCAAGGTCACCTGTCAGCTGCGTCAGTAGGGTGGTGTTGCTGGGGGCAGCAGGAGGGACAAAAAATAGTTTGCATGCTGGATTCCGGCCCTATCAGCTACGGCAGCGCTGTAAATATAGCACAGCAGTGGGGACTTTAATAGAACCTGATAAAAGAGCTCTTCAAGGCAGCACAGGCTGCACGCTTCTGGGAGCTAAAGAACAGGCCGTCACTCCCCAGTCTCGTCTGTCAAGTGGTGGTGGAAATATAGCAGGGCCCCGGTGATAACCCCAGGGAAAAGCTTTCCTTCTCCCAGTGACAGCCGGTCAGGAGCTCATGGGAAGAGCCCGTTCCAACAAGGCGATTCGGACCCTCTCATGTGACTCCACAGCAGAGCAGGGGACGAGCACAGGGGTCCAGCCAGGCACCGGGTTTCACTCTTGAAACTGTGCAGCAGGAGATTCTAGGTGATACCACAAAGTTCAAAACAAACACCAGATGTGCACATGGAGCAGATTCCACTGTTCTCCTCCATTAAACCCAGCGGTCAGATCCCGAACGCTCGTTCTCGTGCAAACTAGACGAAGTATGTTGTAGGCGTGGGATAAAGAGAAGGATTTACCACTCCAGCCCTGGAGAGCTGAAATCCAGTAGGTCTTAGATCTCCAGTGTCTAAAGAACAGGGGGAAGAGGTTACAGATGGGTCCAGTTAAGCTAATTAGATCAATTTGAAAAGTAAAGGGTGGGATGGAGAAAACCTGCACACACTGCAGTCCTGTAGGACCACATCTGTGTGCCCCTGGTGTGAAGAGTGATTTTTACTGCATTGAATGTATTCTCGACAGATTCCATTAAAATGACCCCCCAGTGTTTTGGGCTTCATGTCCCCCCTTGTGTGGAACAGGAACATGCCCATTGGGACTGCAGAGACTCCTGTAGTCTAACCCTGCTCCCCTGCCTTTCTTCTAGTGCTTTTTCCCCACCAACCAGAAGAAAAAAAAAGTAATAAACATCCATGTGAAGAAATGGATGGTTTAAAACAGTGTGGACCGTGCAAACATTTTTCTGGGATAATTATTTAATGCAAACGTAAGGCTGAGCTGAAGAGCGACTTCCTATGACGCCGGACAAGCGCCTACGAACAGGTGTGAAGGACGAGAACAGATCTCGCCCACCTTGGCGATCCCGCTTGGCTTGTTTTCTTCCCAACTAATGAAAAGCTTTGTCACCTGATCCGAGTGTGGAAGCCAGACGAGCGTGTTAATACCCCCCCCGCGGCGCTGCGCTAATACATGCAGGTGACAGGAGCTGTCAGCAACACTCGCCCCCGGCCCGGAGCCGGGACGCCGTGGGGCAGATGTCCGAGGCAGGTGTCAGGGACATGGTGTAGCGAGAGCAGATGACGCAGATCAGACGTTACTCCAGAAACGCGGAAAACGCACAGCGAGGATAAAAGCGGCGAGGACGCAGCTGACACGTAGGGGGAATATCTACCTCAAATTGATCACCCCCCCTCCCGACAACGTGGTGCTCTAGAAGCGTGCGGAGCCGGAGACACCGGTACAAGCACCAACACCGGCAGGCTCGTCTGCATTGTACCACGGGAAGGGCTGCTGCGGTCGAATTCACTCGCTTCCTGACGCGAAATAAAAAACAGACAGAGCTGCGTGGAAGTACATGCAAGACCCGTAGTCGCATGACAGATGAGGGAGGAAAAACTGCCCAGAAAATGGAAAAGTTGAATGAAAGCTTGTTAAGAGATCCGAACTGAATCGCCCTTGGTCATGTTGTGTAAAGCTATGCAATAATAAGGTGACATCCTCAGAGCTTAAAAACGTTTAAAATGGTAGTCCTGCATTGTTTTCAAACATCTCTTAACTGAATTTGTCATTACTTCACTTGTGGTGAATGGAATGAACTTCAGGCAAGGCCAGACTGCACAAACCCTGAGTAATGTAGCCAGGACACTGAGGTTAGCATCCCTCTCCAACAGGACCTCGGTGTAAAGTCTCATGTGAAGTTCGGCACCACCTAACCCACTGGGCCCACAGTCCCGATGCTGGGTCTTTGGTGTGGAAATTCTGGTCCATGAGACAAAGAGCATCATGCGGTAGAATACTTGATTTACTGGGGTTAGTGTCAACTGCTGTTCATGGGTTGAATCAAGACAATCCACCTACAAGGACATCAGGATCTTTTAGTAACTACGCAGGTGGCACGATACAGCAATAAAAGCAGACCTTGGTCATAAATTTGAAAAATAAACCTCAACTAGCAGGCCACCTGGGGTATGGGTAGTCCGAGGAATATATACTTTTAGTTCAAATGGTATTTTTTGAGTTGGTTTATATTGACAATCAGTCTCAAAGCTCGCTCCTACGGGTGCGTCACATTCCACAGGCACAGCCGCCCGTCCAGCTGGGAGAAACCTGAAGCCCCACTGTTGCGCCATCCGTTTTTAAAAGCTCCCAGGGCGGGGATGCAGAATGTTAATCTCCCCGTCCAGAACAGGCTGTTCTCAAAGTGGGCCAGCTCGGAGAAGCATGCCACCGTCCGCTGCCACAGCCACTTAAACTGCCAACCTCGTTTTAATGATCTGCAGAGTCACCCCCGGGTCAGCAATTTATTGCCCACCTGTGCTACAGAATTAAAAGCCAGAGTAGCGCCGAATAAGGGACAAGAATTCTGACGCGCAGGAAGTCTTTCAATGCCTCCAATTTAAAATATTACTTTCAAAATTGTGCCTGTACAACTAGGTTATTCAAAGCATTATCACAGTAGGTACTTCATAGGGGGTACCACACTCAAGTTACTAAAGCTACTAATGTAACATTTAAGGCTACTAATAGCTCCGATACCAAAGGAATACATTTTATGAACACCAAGGCAGCTCACCCTTTGAGGATGAGACTTACACCATCTAGTGGGTTCAGAAGGCATGTGCTTGAAACGGCTGAGCAAATTCCTCATGCAAGGAAATCTATTCACCCCTGATCAAAAAGCTTCATATTCCTGACAAGGATCCCGACGACCCTGAGCTCCTTCAGGAAGGGCAGGGCACAAGGCGGATCTACACTTTGAATGGGAGAGTGGACGACACACACACACATAGGGAATATCGCGAGTCTGCCCCCTCCACCTCAAACCAGCTAGTGCACCTTAATGGGACCTGCCTTCAAAGGTTCCAAGACATTCAGAACAGAGTTTAAGAAACCCAGTCTAGGCTCAAATTCCTCTGTTCAACACTTTACATTTCCCCACTGACCACTGACTTAAGGAACGAGTGACTTGACATCTAACTCCATTAATCAATCAAGATCAGACATGCAATGAAAGCCAGTTGAAGACTGGAGCTTTATACTCCCCAGTTTAAAATGGAAAACGGTGGTGTGGATTAACACAAAAACAAGGCAAAAGGATAATCCCGACCTGGTAAAACCCCTGCATTCTGGTTTACGCTCCAAATTGTTAATCCCAGGCTATTTACAATTGATGAAGATCTCTTTACATCTTTGAGGACCTACAACTCATCATGCAGAACCGCCTTTACAATTTGGCGGTTAACCTACAGAACCTGCTGAACCGAGGCCTTCCAGGAAGAGGGTTGAAGACCCCCTAGGGCAGCAGGACCACCAAACTGAGTACCCCAGAGTAAAGAACCTTTGATTTACAGGTCACAGGCATAAAAAAAAAAATCATTTAAAAAAACGAAGTGACGAACATGTTTCAGAAGTCTGTTTATTCAAAGGAATAGGTATAGTATTTATACATACTAGCGAACAAGACCCTTAAACATTTAGTAAGGTTATTTACATATCAGAAGGATCACAAATCACTTCGGTATCCCAAAATGCAAACTAGAAATAAAAACGTGAACTTTACATTTATGGTAAAAAGAACAGAGGAAAAGCATTC